GGTAGAAAAAATTCTTCGCTCTTTAACTCCAAATTTTGAGCATGTGGTAGTGGCTATTGAAGAATCACATGATATAGACTCGATGACTATAGACCAACTCAACGGATCACTAGTGGCCCATGAAGAAAAAATGAAAAAGAAGAAAGTGCAATATCCGTTGGAGCAAGCACTTTATACACAACTCTCACTCAAAAGAGGTGATGGTCAAAGAGGACGAGCTAGGGGCCGTGGACGAGGTCGAGGCCGAGAAAGAGGACATGGTGAAAATCGCCAAGAACATGAAGAAGAGAAAAAACAACACCTGAAGCCGACAAGAGGTCGTGGAAGAGGCGGTTACCAAAGGTATGAGAAATCACAAGTTAAATGCTATAATTGTGACAAATTTGGTCATTACGCTTCCAATTGCAAATCTAATTATTGTGAAGTGGAGGAAAAGTTTAACCCCATCAAGGATGAAGTCGATCTTACCTTATTGATTGCACACGATCTTAAAGAAAAAGAAAGAAAGAGTATGTGGGTGTTAGATACCGGGGCTAGCAACCACATGACCGGCGACAAAACCATGTTCGCGGAATTTAAGCAAGCAAACGGAAAAGTCACATTTGGAGATGAGTCAAAGGTATCGGTTGAAGGAAGAGGTAACATCTTAATCCGTCTAAAGGATGGTAGCCACCAATTTATTTCCGATGTTTATTATGTGCCCAATCTCAAAAATAATATTTTGAGTTTGGGGCAACTTCTAGAAAAAGGTTATGACATCAATCTAAAAGATAATAATCTTTTTCTAAGAAGTGAAGGAAGATTAATAACCAAAGTGCCAATGACGAAAAATAGAATGTTTTTATTGGAGATTCAAAATGATGAAGCAAAATGCTTACATTCATGTTTAAAAGATGATTCTTGGTTATGGTGGCACTTGAGGTTTGGGCACTTGAACTTTGGTGGCTTAAATTTATTATCAAGAACCAAAATGGTTGATGGGATGCCAATGATAAATCATCCAAATCAATTGTGTGAGGGGTGTCTTTTAGGAAAACATGCAAGAAAAGGTTTTCCAAAAGAATCAAATTTTAGAGCTAAAAGGCCCTTGGAATTAATTCATGCCGATGTTTGTGGACCCATTAAACCAAGTTAATATGGAAAGAATAATTATTTTCTTCTTTTCATTGATGATTATTCTAGAAAAACTTGGGTCTATTTTCTAAAAGAAAAGTCTGAAGTCTTTGGGTCATTTAAAAAATTTAAGGCCCTTGTAGAAAAGGAAGTTCGACATGAAATACAAGCCATGAGATCCGATAGAGGAGGTGAATTTACATCAAATGAATTTAATGAGTTTTGTGAAAATAATGGGATTCGCCGTCCTTTAACGGTTCCATATTCACCACAACAAAATGGCGTGGTTGAAAGAAAAAATAGAACTATTCTTGAGATGGCTAGAAGCATGCTAAAAAGCAAGAATATGCCAAAAGAATTTTGGGCCGAAGCGGTTGATTGTGCTGTGTATATTTTAAATCGTTGTCCAACTAAAAGTCTTGACAACAAGACTCCTCAAGAAGCATGGCGGAAGAAGAAACCAAATGTTTCTCACCTTCGAGTTTTTGGAAGTATAACATATGCTCATGTGCCAGATGAAAAACGCTCAAAGCTTGATGATAAAAGTGAGAAGTTTGTGTTTATTGGAAACGATAAACACTCGAAGGGATATAAGCTATATAATCCAGTCACGAAGAAAATCATTGTGAGCCAAGATGTCCAATTTGATGAAGAAGCCTCTTGGGATTGGAGTGTTCAAGAAGATGAGAATTACAACTTCTTCCCGCTCTTTGAAGAAAATGAAGAACAAGAGGACCATGATGACCAAGCGGCTCAAGAACCAAACACTCCACCTCATTCACCATCCATCCAAGGAAGTCCACCAACCAACTATGAAGGCTCAAATGAAAGAACTCCCCGTTATAGAAGCTTACAAGAGATATATGAGGTAACACAAAATTTGGATGAAATAACTCTTGTTTGTCTTCTTAATGATTGTGAACCAATAGGTGTTCAAGAGGCGCTAGAAGACAAGAAGTGGAAAAATGCTATGGACGAGGAAATGAAGTCAATCATCAAGAATGATACTTGGGAGTTAGCTACGCTACCAAAGGGGCACAAGGCTATCAGCACTAAATGGGTATACAAAGCAAAGAAAAATGCCAAAGGAGAAATTGAAAGATACAAGGCAAGGTTGGTGGCGAAAGGGTACAAGCAAAGGGCCGGTATTGACTATGACGAGGTATTTGCTCCCGTTGTCCGCTTAGAAACTATAAGATTACTTATTTCAATTGCGGCTCAAAATAATTGGAGATTGTACCAAATGGACGTAAAATCGGCTTTCTTAAATGGTTGTTTGGAAGAAGAAGTCTATTTGGAACAACCCCCAGGTTATATAATTAAAGGGCAAGAAAATAAAGTTTTAAAAATTAAAGAAGGCACTTTATGGATTAAAACAAGCCCCAAGAGCTTGGAATACTAGAATAGACAAGTACTTCCAAGAAAATGGTTTTCTAAGGTGCCCTAATGAATATGACCTTTATGTAAAAACAAATGAAGATGGGAATATTTTGATTGTGTGCTTATATGTGGATGATTTGATATTCACGGGTAACAATCCAAGTATGTTTGATGCTTTCAAGAAAGAAATGAGTCGTGAATTTGAGATGACGGATATGGGACTTATGTCATACTACCTTGGAATTGAAGTCAATCAAAGTGATAGAGGAATATTTATTTCCCAAGAAGGTTATGCAAGAAAAATTCTTAAGAAATTTAAGATGGATGGGTGCAAGCCGATTGACACACCAGTCGATTATGGGACAAAATTCTCTAAGTTTGATGAAGGAGATAAAGTGGATCCGACTATGTTCAAAAGTTTGGTTGGGAGCTTGCGCTACTTAACATGTACGAGGCCCGATATTCTTTTTGGAGTGGGACTTATTAGCCGCTATATGGAAGCACCAACATCTATCCATATGAAGGCCGCCAAAAGGATTCTACGATACCTAAAAGGTACGATTAGCTTTGGATTGACTTACTCATCTTCTAAAGAATATAAGTTGTTTGGTTATAGTGATAGCGATTGGGGCAGAGATATTGATGAGCGTAAGAGTACAACCGGGTTTGTACTTTACATGGGGGATATGCCTTTCACATGGTCTTCAAAGAAGCAACCCATTGTGACACTTTCGACTTGTGAAGCTGAATATGTTGCTGCTACGTCATGTGTATGTCACATCATTTGGCTTCGAAGATTATTGAAGGAAATTCACATGCCGCAAGAAGATGCAACTGATATTTATGTTGATAACAAGTCGGCCATTGCACTTGCAAAAAATCTCGTCTATCATGACCGAACTAAACATATTGATACTCGGTACCATTTTATTCGTGAATGTGTCGAGAATAAGGAGGTCCAAGTGAAGTATGTGAGGTCACAAGATCAAGTTGCGGATATTCTTACAAAACCTCTCAAGCATGAAGACTTCAAGCGATTGAGAAGAATGCTCGGAGTTGGAAATCAAGTTTAAGGGGGGATGTTAGAATGTAAACTTGATTTTGGGCTAAGTTAATAATTGATGTTTGTTGTAATGGGCAAAGCCCAAAATAATTAGGAGTGTTCTAGAGAGAAATGTTCTAGAAAGGAGTGTGAGACTTCTAGAGTCATTCTAGAGAATAATTAATAATAGAGTATTCTAGATAAGGAGAATTCTAGAGAACTCTCCACCATTTATTGTGGATGTGAGTAGTATAAATAGGTGTAGTTGTGCTCATTTGTAATCAAGCATCAAGCTAAGAAATCTTCAAGCAATAAAATACAAGTTCTCTCTTCTTCCATCCTCTCTTCTAGTTAGCTAAAAGCTTTTTCTACTTACACAATTATCTTCATAACGTCCTAAAATACTTAGCCTCTACCTCTAATATTCCAACACTGCAGCCCTTCCAACATTTACATTGACTGCCTATTCTGATGCAAGTTGGGCTTCTGACTTAGATGACTATCGCTCTCAGTTTGGTTATGCCATATGTTTTGATTCTTGTCTAATAAGTTGGACATCTAGCAAGAAAAAAGTTGTTGCTCATTCAAGTACCGAAGCAGAATATCGCGCTATTGCAGCCACAGTTGTTGAGCTCAACTGGATCCAGCTTCTTTTACTTGATCTTCATCAGACTCTCTCACGAATAGAGATAATTTTAACTACTTACCTGCTTCTAGAGACCGCATACTTATATAAGTTTATTTTACATTTTTAATTGCAAGTTATAAGAACTGGAAGGGGCCTCTGATGGTTTTTCAAGCTGAGATTGAGAGCCCTATTCTTATAGTGAAAATGAAAAGCTGGAAGGGCTTCTCTACTAATTAAGAAGAATACACAAATAATGCAAAATGTATTAGTAAGGCTCTTTCCACGACGTGTACCCATAATCATTTAGTCATAAATTTTTATGCTCAATTGGCGTTTTATGGTGTCATAAATTAATGCAAATCAGACGTATTCTAAATTTGCATTAATTTTTAAGTCTTCAAGAACAACTTGAACCTATCAATAGTTGGTGTTAAATTCTAATCATTTTGTGTCTGTTGGGTTGAACAACCTGTTTATTTTATGCTGAAAAGAACTTTGATCTCTTGGTTGCTAATTTTACTACTCGTATTCTCTTTAGCGGCTCACCATTGTTTGGATCGAATACCTTCTGTTTCACATTTTTTGTATGTACATTGCTAACCCTTTGTTTTTCTCACAGTTATTTGTGTTATTATATATGCCCTATTTCCTTTGGCTCTATTTTCTTGTTGGGCATGAGGCGCGCGCCAATAATAGCTAGTAGCAAGTATGTACTCCCTCATTCCCACAAAATTCTTCTCACTTTGACTTGATACGGAGATTAAGAAAGTGGAATAAAATGAAAATGTATGGTTATAGTTGTGTAAGAAAAAGGTAAAATGAATGTGAATCATACAAATTGTCCAAAAATAGTAAGTGAGAAGAATTTTTTGAAACGCCCCAAAAAGAAAAGTAGAAAAATTTTAGGGGAGGGAGTATATAAATGATCAAATATTTGTAAAGTTTCACCCACCAAAAAGGAACATGGAATCTTTTATTAACAACCACATATACTGTATACACGCTAATCTTTGGGCTGAGGTATTATTACACGTTTTAAGAAAAACATACGTATATCCTGAATCATATATGATCTGTAAAGATGCACTCTAGAAAAGACAGAGGCTCCAAAATATATGGAAGAAGCAACGAAAAGGCAAACAACTAATTTAAGTAAAGCCATGCAATTCAAGATCAGGATTTTTAGTTCTTGGCAACCCAGACAATGTGATCCTCTGGAAGGAAATGGCAAACAGGAACAGTCCCTGGCTTGACCTTTAGCACCTGGAAAGCCAAATGCTTTGGGTTCCAACCGGAGGTATCTTTGTGGCAAACCGCCGCCGCCTTGACCTGACCTCCATTAGCTCCGACCAGAGAAACCTTAAAAGCATCGGTCTTCTTTGACTTGTGGCAATAGAACACCGCGTATGCGTAGTTTTGCTTGTGGCAGACCACCAATCCTTCTTTGTTGTTCAGTTTTTCGACGCCTGAAATAGTGTATCTCTGAAGGGACGACGTTTCTCCGGCGAGGGTTTCGGTTGATACTGCTTGGATTTTCTTGTCGCTGCCCAGCTTGGATTTGGAGAATTCGATCATGGATTCTAGTGACGTGGCACATTGTTTCTCCTCTCCCTTGATGGTCGGATCTTCGCATTCTTTGATGGTTTGCTTCATCACCTGAGCTTCGTCAGAGTCGGGGTTGACAGAGAAACGGTTGAGAATCTCCGGGATGTTCTGGGAGGAGAAGGGGATCTTTTCGGATTCCGTCCGGGGCAAGAAAACGGCGTCGTTGGCGGTTTTCGTGAAGTGCAAGGTCATGTCGGCGTTGCCACGATGTAAGGCGGCGGGCCGGAAGAAGAGGGCGACGTTAGGGTTGTCGTGGAGCTGGTCTTCTGTTGCGGCGTAGACGTAGTTGAAAGGGCTGCCCGCCCCGACGTGTACTCCGACCGGCTTTCCGTGTTTTCCGCCGGTTCCAACGGAGACACCGCCTTTTCCGACACCCACGTTAGTCCCCGAGCCGGACTTTCCTGGGGCATGCACGCTAACGCCGCCTTTCCCGACACCGACATTGGTCCCCTGACCGGCTTTTCCTGGGGCATGGACGCTAACGCCGCCTTTCCCGACTCCGACGGTGGTACCTTGGCCAGATTTTCCTGGGGCTTGGACGCTAACGCCGCCTTTCCCTACGCCGACGTTAGTACCTTGACCACCGGACTTTCCAGGGGCATGAACGCTGACGCCGCCTTTACCGACACCGACGTTGGTTCCCTTGCCAGTGTTGACGTTTACTCCTCCCTTTCCAACTGCTACATCAGTTCCCTTCAACTCAAGCCACTCTACAAAATGGTCAAATATAATAACAAAAGGTCAGTAGTATGAAACTAACATGTTTTTATTCCCAAAATAGAATTAATTATTATCATATTTTGGCAGTACCGGACTTCAAACATGACAGTATTTTTATACATGACAGAAATTAGTCTTATTTTGGGAATAAAAAACATGCATGACAGTTTTATTTTGGAATTTTGAAACTGTTTTACTCCCCGGGAACTTTCCCTTTTTAAATATGACTTGAACATTTTCCGAATTACTTCTACTATTGTTTTTTCTAAATGAGGCTCATTCGTTTTTTTATTTGCTACGGAGTATTATCTTTTATTAGGATTTGTAATATATGTATGCATAATAGGTGTTTGCTATGGTACCCAACAAAAATAGGAGGGTACCATACCTAGGATGCATTTCATTGATCCAACTCAAATTTTTACATTTTATTTGTATTTAAATTATTCAATTGAAATTTTTTAATTGGTCCATACCATCAAGGTACCATACCTTCAAGGTACCATAGAAATTACCTACATAATAATAAGTTATGTTTTACAAATAACACATTCCATTACTCTTAATTTGGGTAACAGTTTTTAGTTTAATTTGTTTCTTTGACCAAGACATGAGCACGCAAATACAACTCAAATAGGAGCAAAACATGGCTCATTGGCTCGGGCGGCTACAATAGATGTCCGGGTGGAAGTCTGGTGGCGATGTATAGTGGCGATATTCTTTCTTGTTTGGTTCGTCCAAATTTATCTCTTTTTTCCCTTTTTGGAAAAGAATATGTAGTTCACAATCATTTTTACACATTTCTCTCTCTTCTGCACAACTCTCTACTACACAAATCTCACTATCTTTCCCTTTTTGGTAAAGAATATGTAGTTCATAATCGTTTTTACACATTTCTCTTTCGGGTAATATTCTCTTAAGAAAATGTTTTCTAATGGAATAATGGATCGAATGATGTCAAGAAGTACAGTAAGAAGCAGAGTAAGTGCATGTTTGGGAGACATAATGGATCGAATGATATCTAGAAGTACAGTAAGAAGCAGAGTAAGTGCATGCCTGGTAGCTTTCGTACTGTTTAAAAAGTTTCTAAAAACTTTTAGTTGTATGATTGACATGACAAATTTTAAGAGTTTTTCAAAAAATAAAATATCTTTTTTGAGATGCTACGGGGAGTAACATCTGAGAAAAGAACGTGACTTTTAGTATTAATTTGTCCTAACAGCTTGTATACCAAACAAACTATTTCAAACAATCGGCTTTTTACCAAACGGTTACCACATTTTCTTTTTAGGATATTTTCAGTCACTAAAAGCTAACAATTAATTAAAAGCTCACAAAAACATCTAGTCGTGCCAAACATACCCTAAATATTAGGGATATTTAATTTACAAAAGGAGAACAAAAGGAGAACAAACCAGGTGTTTGGGACAGGGAATCCTTGATTGCTTGGGGAATTGGAGTGTTTGGAAGCTCAGAATTCCAGTAACTCTGCGCCGGTGAGGAAGACAAAGCTGCTTGGCTTGCCACCACCACCATCTGATAAAAAATTATGTAAAGAAAAGACATAATTAAAATAAACGAATTAATTTCCAAAAAATGAAAATATTATTGACATGCACTCCAAACAGGATCTGGGTTGCTTTAAAAATTGAAAGATGGTAGTATTAATTTTCCTGATTTTCAAACTATTGGCTTTATGTTTTCAACAACAAAAAAATGAAAATTTAAACTGAGCCACTACTCAACCAAATAAAAAACTTATTAGAGTTTTAGACTAGAGTAGTCTTAGACTTTTATAAATTGTTTGAGTTCAATCTAATTGTAACAAAAATTAAGGGACATGATATGACCAGGAAAGAATTAATGCAACTCATTGAGATAAATATGAACCTAATATCAAGAAGTTAATTGTAACAACTAAGTTTCAAATTAAAGATATACTTACACAAAGAAATGTTAGGAGTTTAATGATGAAATGATTGTGCTCCATCTTTGTGAGTGCAAGTATTGTTTTGTTAGAAGGAGAGTGGAGATGAAGAAGAAAATTAAAGGTTGCTAAAATGATTGGAGGTAAGGAATAATGAGAGTGGGAGCAGTATTTATAATAAGTGATGAGAATAGAAGAAGAGTAGCTGGGCTGCTTGAGGAAAGCAACACATCAACTATACACATTAAACCGCCTCTAGCCATGATGGTAATAATCGTACGAACCCAACCCTCTCAAAAGGACCATTGGATCAAGTCTAATGGATTGACCAAGTCTCACTCAGGACAGATCTACATTAAGGCGATGATGAGGTGGGTTGATCTATGATGTAAAATAACATACACCTTACGCCCCTCAATACTATGTCATGTTTGACGAGCACGAGAAATAATAAAATAAAACTTGTATGTTTGAGATATGTGCGGAGGAGAAAGAAATAACACCAACCGCAAATTCATTGATTAAAAGGGAAAGGGACAAAGTTTTTGGAACATGTATAAAAGGAAAGATGACCAACTTATAAGGGATGGAGTGAATACTATTTCCTTTGTTTCATTAACAAAAAAGGATGACACTTCACTCCTGAGAGCACTAGAACCGTTCGGGTAATTACAGTGGAGGGTGTAGGTTGAACTTGGATCACATTCTGATGAAAAGAGAGTTGAACCTGGACCTCTCCTCTGTGACACTTCCTACCTATCAAGAAAAGTGAATTTATGTGATTGATATAGAATTAATAAAGTAAAAATAAAATAAAAATGATTTAGAATCACACAAATGGACCAAATTTGTCCCATCTAAGTTTGTCATCATTCCTTTTCGGTTTATCAACTAAGACAAATCCTATGCTTTTCCTAGTCAAATACCCGCTTCAATAAGGTCCAAATCTCCATCTTTCTTTAGATTATACTTCGTCAAGCTAGCCCGGTTCCCCCTCGTAGACAAGACAATTGCTAGCCCTTGATACTCGGTATTAGGGGTGGGCGTGGTTGGTTAACCGTGTTTTGGTTAACCAACTTTCCGGTTAACCGAGAAACCTATTACTTCGGTTAACCGAGTATCGGTTAACCAAAGCTTCGGTTAACCGAATATCGGTTAACCAAAACTTCGGTTAACCACAAACCGGTTAACCAAAAACCATCAAACCATTGATTAAATATATACACACACCATGTTCTTTCTATATTAATTAAGTCCAAACAAGAGAAAAATAAATTTTGAGAGTGGAATACAAGAAAAGATAAAATACACTTAATAAGAATAAACGTGTTCAATTGCTTCAAAAAAGAATACACATGTTCAAGTCTCATGATTGCAGAATGGGCTAATTAATTATAACTCACAAAAGCTTTGACTAATTATTAATAATATGAAATTAAAAATTTTATAGTGACAAACAGAATTTGGTTTCTTCACATGTTTATTAGAATTGATGTATCTAGATGTGTTGGATACATATTTATCTTTCCAAGTTCTCTGAGAACGTGAAGTTCATGACCAGACATGAACATACCGGTTATTGGTTAACCGATAATAACATATTTCTAAAACCGTAACCGTACCGCGAACCGTTTATTCTCACGGTTGGTTAACCGTACCGTGGATTTAAAAAATTGCGGTTCGGTTAACCGGGAAAAACGGCGGTTTTCCGGTTTTTAGGCGCGGTTATACGGTTACGGTTTTTTATGCCCACCCCTACTCGGTATATCTTCATTCCGTCATCTCTCCAGAAGAGTCAATACCAATATTATCTCATATCAAATTTAGTAAAATTTATGTGATCTAAAACATTCTTATTTTATCAATTCAATATCAACCATAAAAACTCATTTTTTCTTAATAATTGCATAACATCAACCACAATAAAAGGAAAATGTATGAAAAATTAATAAAGATTATTAATCCTTAGTAGCCTACGAATTTTGCAGCATTAAATGCGGTGCTGCTATCGGCACACGTTACATATAGATGGGGAGACGGATGAAATGAAGTTCGGGGGCAGCTGCACATAATAATATGTACACACCCAAATTTATGGCAGTGTGAAACATGTAAGATGATAACCTCATCAAGATTGTTCTACAACTACTGACTTGTGAGACCTTATAAATAAAAGACGTCACAGTCAAAGGCTCAAATTTTTAATGCTTTTTATTGAGACCCATATGCGGATCCACAAATTTTAGTTATTCGGGCACCTATTATGAAAAAGTGAAAATCGTTGGATAAAAATGTAAGAAGTAAAAATTTACTTTAAAAATTAAAGAAATTTCTCAAAATAGGAGAAAAAAGATCTTGGAATTCTATATAGGAGTACTATATTTTTATTCTCTAGTAAAAGTAAATACTATCTAGCTTGAAAAAAATTCTCACTTATATACTACTCCGTATTATATAAGCGGAAATATTTTTGGTGACAATAATTACTTGCTTTTAGGGAATAAAAACATAATACTCATATTCTAGAATTCACAAACCTTTTTACTTATATTTATGAAAAATACAACAATCCAATATTAACAAAATAAAAATATTACATTTTATGACAATTGCTCTCTACGAGTTCTCAGTTTGTAGAAAGGGGATTATAACGACTTTATTTGTAACTATGTCAAGCACATCCTTTTTCACATAGCAAATAATATAATCATTCAAAAACTGGTTGTTGATCCTATTGCACAAACTTGACTTGATAATGCTCATCATAGAAACTACGTAGTATGTTTCAACTGTAGTGGTTGCAACTGACAAAATCAATTACAATTTTACTAGTCCATATACTAAATGATAGGAAAGAAAAAGACTCTATTTAAGAAGATAGGATTGATTTAGAAAAACATAATGATATCAAGATGACGATTAATAGAATGAGATTTTTAGGGCTATATTATAAGTAGTATAGAAATTGCTCTAAATAGAAGCAAAAATGTTTTGAAATTCTAAAATAGGAGTATCATGTTTTTCACTAGTACAAAAAAGGGTTTTTATATCATCATATCTACATGTGTTATCCCAAAACCCATGTGAAATAATGACATGGGGTTATTTTTATAACTTTTATAAACTTTTTCACATCGGTTGTATATTTAGCCGATTTTAATTAGTGAAATGGGGTATGCTTTACAATTTTGTTAAATATTATACATCGGGTTTGTGTAGAACCGATGTTAAAATGAAAACAGGGTAAAATTTAGAATTAATGAAAGTTTAATTTACATGCGTTACCGTCGATGTAGAAAAATGAAAATAAAAAATATGCCTCAGCGATGTAAACCTAGCTATTCAGCCAGAGACAACATCGACAACAAACTGCGGCTTCGGCACTCTTGCTGCAACTGACGCGACTGCGACCCCGGCGTCGAGTGCAGGTCATGACTTCCTTTGTCGTTGGACGGTTTTTGCGAGCAGAGCAGTAGACATGCGTTCGAGAGAGCAGAGCTAGTTGGACGGCGTTCAAGAGACCAGAGCATTAGTATGCCATTCGAGATAGCAGAGTGGGTCGGACGGCGTCGGTGCAATCCTCCCAGCGACTTTATGTCATCTAGAGACCATTTTCTAGCCAGCAATTTGAGTCACCGAGCATCCCCACAAGTATAGTCATCCGGTGACGCAACTTTGTTTCAATTATTACATCATTATAAGTTAAATTTGACATGTCATAAATATCACCTTGCGATTAATAGGCTGGACTAATTGATTTGTCATAGGGTATTCCTACGCATCGTAGAAATTGAACGAGGTTATTGTTACTTTATTATCATCTTCTCTAAGTAAAGTGAAGTGTAATCTTTTCTAGCTTTTGTCCCTCCATATGAACATCATGATACGTCGGCTTGATAAATTACTGTTGTTTGATAAATAGTTAAATTTTTTATATTCTAATATTCACGCCTAATGCAGTCTTGTTTGCTTACTTTCTGGGAAAAAAATGATTTGCTATATGGCATTCCAATTTAGATTTTCATATCTTTAGTCTTGGTTTCCAAGGAAGGTGAAAAGGGGCACTTTTAATAATGTAAACGACTTACATGTATCTTTTATTTTATACGGAGTATCATTTTCCTCAATCAACAGGTTTCCAATAAAACTTGTACGATCAAGACATTATGAGTTTCTGTCATAATGTACGATGAATTCCAAGTCCTACTTAGTGTGGACCGGTAATCATAGTTCAATTTTGTCAGTTTGAGGTTCTGTGGAGTGTTATCCACTCAATGTAAGTATTCAACGCTGAATACTTATGTAGACTTGCACTCTTTTATTATGTGATTGTGTCTTAGTACTGCATTTATCCTGAAAGTTTTAGGTAGTTGCTTCGATATTTAGTTTTTTATGTTCTTTTCTTTGATAAATTCTACTTTATATGTAGTTGCTATACTCAAACTTCCTATTTGTGTTATAATTCACTTCACATTTTTAGTAGAGTTATATGCTGAATATTACAACAATTTATGATTATTTTAAGACATTCATGTCAAACCTCCATAATCAGTCATTCTGTCTAAATTAATTAAGGTAGAGCTATATATCTAGTTTTGGGTAAATCTGTCTATAAATTTGTAAAAAATCTCATTTAGAGACCATTTGTGTCATCTAGAGACCATTTTCCAGCCAACAATTCGAGTCACCTACTCATTAACTTATAATGATGTAATAATAAAAGCAAAGTTGCGTCACCGGATGACTATACCCGTGGGGATGCGTAGTGACTCAAATTGCTGGCCGGAAAATGGTCTCTAGATGACACAAAGTCGCTAGGAGGATTGCACCGACTCAACTAAGTAAACCTCCATAATTGGTCATTCTGTCTATAAATCTGTAAAATCTCATTTAACTGCCTTCAGAACAAAAAGACAGTATAGTTCGATCCATTGGAAGCTCACGTAGTCAAATCTTTATGTCAATAAGTTTGAGTATTTCAGTCTCGGTTTTCTCTTCTTCTTCTTATTCCATTTTTTGTAACTTCAATAAAACCCTGTCATGGTTTTTTAATATACTTTTATCTTAATCTGTTTTGTAGTTCTTCATCCATTTTCACCATTGTGATATGTCACCTTTTGTTTTCTTTAAATATGGATGGTAATG